CTGTGCGAGAGACCTGGCAACTTCAGCCTTTTTTGGGAGGCGTGATTAAGTCAGGAGGGGCAATTTCTCCCCTCGCTTCTAAGTCACACCAAAACCCAACCCTAAAGCAAGGCCGGGAAGCCTGGGAATTGTAGTCCGCCCCCCCCAGTCCCCCTCCCCCCCCCGAAAAAGAGCGCCTGATGGTCTACACTCACGGCTCGAAACGCTTCAGCAGTTGCCTTTTCCGTTTCTCGTCACTTCCTGTTTGGCTCCGTGCCACATGGTCGACCTCTAAAGACGTCACGAGCACGGGGAGGGGGAGAGAGAGAGAACACTGCCCTCTACCAGTTCATTTCCGGCTGAGCTCTGCGGGTTGTCCCGAAAGGACGCTCTGTGCCTCACTTTGTCTTCTCTCTCTCTCTCTTTCTCTCTCTCTCTTTTTCGCTCGCTCGCTCTTTGATTCGGAGGCTTCCCACGCATGCGCTTGGAGTCGCTTAAAACCATGAGAGTCTTAATCGGTGAGTGGTGGTCGCTTTCGCTTTCAGAGCCGACAGGCGCCCCTTTGCAATGGGAGGAACGGCTGTTTTCTTTGCTGCTGGGGTGGCTCTATTTTTTCTCCTCTTATTCCCCACCCCACCCCCCTTTGCAAATTGCGGCTTGCAGTTCTTGGCTTGGTTAGCGCCACCTTGAACTGCGGTCGACACGAGGGATGCGTGCAAAGGGTGAACGTGAGATTCCCCTTTGAGTAACCGTTGGTGGGGGGTCCCAGTTGAAGGATTTGGTATCCCTCCTTCATTTTCTTCAAGTCATTGGATGAGGACTTGGAGAGGTTCAGGTCGACCTTCACTCAGTTTAGGACAGGTGTTCCCTCCCTCTCTATCTCTTATCAATTTCCTTCCTTGCTAGGCATGCTGCTTTTAGGATATGAATCTAGTAAAGAGGAAGGAGAAGGGGGGGGGGTTCTTTCTTAATTTTTTTCTTTGCAGAAAAAAAGACAGGAGTACTCCATCAATAATGCTCTTTTATTTTAATTTTGCCCCTTCCAGTCAGTGTAGACTGCTGGCAATGAATTGGGTGAACCTCTGCAGCTTTCTTGCCAGTTTTCTTGAATAGAATAGAATAGAATAAGAGATAGAATAGAATAAGAAATAGAACAGAATAGAATAAGGAATAGAATAGAATAAGAAATAGAACAGAATATAGAATAGAATAAGGAATAGAACAGAATGGAATAAGGAATAGAATAAGGAACAGAACAGAATAAAGAATAGAATAAAGAATAAAATAAAATAAGGAATAGAACAGAATGGAATAAGGAATAGAATAAGGAACAGAACAGAATAAAGAATAGAATAAAGAATAAAATAAAATAAGGAATAGAACAGAATAAGGAACAGAAAATAGAATAGAATAGAGGAATATTGAGGAATATTCCATTCCTTATTCTATTTATTCTATTTCTTATTCTATTTTATTCTTTATTCTATTCTTTATTCTGTTCTGTTCCTTATTCTATTCCTTATATTTCTTATTCTATTTTATTCTTTATTCTATTCTTTATTCTGTTC